CACACTGTCATAGAAATATCGTGCATCAATAGATTCTTTTTTTTAATTTTATTTTATGAATGTCATTATTAACTTACGTCTTCACCATTACTACCTTACATTTTAACCCCTTAAAAGCCAGTTTTTTGCTATTAAAATTATCAATTTTCTGCAAATTTCATTCACTTTAGTCCCAAGAACTGGCGATATTTCTATTACAAATGTACGCAAAACTTTGTCAGTATTCCACGAATGTCAAAAAAAGCAAAAATTTTGCAGTTGTGGTGTTTCCATTCAATAAGAAACACAACTGAATTCACGCGTGAATACGTTCACGTCATCATCCTCCAACCACTTCCTATCGCCATCGTCATCGTGGTTTGCGCCAGCGGCAACATCCAGTTGTTGATCATGAGACTTGTGTGATTAGAAAATAGTGTTTCCATTGCGGTTTTGCAAAATAAAACAATTAAAACACGGCTAAAAATAAACACCTCATCTTGGCACCAAAAAACGAGAGTTTTGTGGGAATTGGTGTGTTTCCTTTAACCTGTTGGTCTCAGGTTGTCATTCACAATGACAGGGGTGTCAAACTCCAGTCCTCAAGGGCCGCTGTCCTGCAGTGTTTAGATGTGCCACAGGTAAAAAACAGTGGAATGAAATGGCTTAATTACCTCCTCCCTGTGTAGATCGGTTCTCCTGAGCCTTGCTAATTACCTAATTATTCTTTTCAGGTGTGGTGCAGCAGAGGCGCATCTAAAAGTTGCAGGACAGAGGCCCTTGAGGACTGGAGTTTGACACCCCTGTCACGAGAGGACCCAGATTTGGGTCCTCTAGTGACAGACAGGTTAAGTGAATTTATGTTTGAAATGTCAAATTTCACAACTATATTGTCTATAGAGATGAAGCTACTAGCTAGCTCTTATTGATGTTTGAGAACCTTAAAAAGTCGTAGATTCCAAGACAGAACCAATAATTACAGATATTTGCCATAATAAGTTTATTTTACACGTTTACACTTAATTGTGAAATTAACAGCAACATAACTTTCTGGTTTAAACTTGTAATTCTGTTGTTAATATTAAAATTTGAGGCTTTTAAATAAATACTTCAATTATGTAGAGATAAAATCTCCAGGGTAATTTGGAACAAAGGAAAATATTTTTTTTAAAAGGCAAAATTGACTTAAAAACACAGGAAGTCCAAAGTCTGCATCTGGAAAAAGCGAGACAAACTACAGGAAGGTCCATCAGAACCACAATCAGGGCTGAACATTTTAATTCCAATTTTCAGAGTTGGCTTGAAGCCTAAAACTCACCACTGATCCACCGGGCTTCCGGGTCGTGAATCTGGAACTCGGGTTTGAACAGATCTGCCACGGTCAGCTTGGACTTGCTGCTTTCTGGAGGCTCAGCTGGGAGAAAAATAAAACGCTGTGTTTCAGCTTTATGTAAAAACACTTAACTGCTGACCAGGCAATCTGAATAAGATGAATTTTAACGTACTGGGTGTGAGGACGACTACGGACAAGGTGATGAGCGAGCAGACCACCACTATGACCAGGAGAGAGATGGCGATGCCCTTCCAGTTCCTCTGTGGGGGGCTGACGTCCACAAACTCCTGCAAACCCAGTAAAAAAAACAAAAACAAATAAAAATCAACAGAAAACTAATCTTTATATTAATGGCATCAAAACCCCAACGGTCAGAAACATCCATCTGTCTGGTTATGAGAGTTTTCTTCATTTTCGGATTATTATACCTGAAGAGCTGTTGTGTTTAAATATCACCCTGTGAATAAATGAGTTATTTTATATAATTTACAGAAAGAAAACTTCCAGATGGAAGACCGGGTATTGCTTTGGAACCATTAAACCACAAGATAAAAGCAAATGCTGCGTAATCATCATGTCTAGACAAAAGATTGTCTACAGAAAGAGCTGGTTTTTTTTCTTTTCTTGCTTTAAATTATATAACCTAAGATTTTGAATGAATGCTTTCAACTCTTATTTGAAGAAAAAAAGCCGTAGCAATCTTCCACAAGGAAGATTTAACCTGCAGTCACAACTTCTAAAAGGAAAAAAAAAGAAAGAAAAATGGACAAAAGGATGCAGGCTTTCAGTTTAACCTCACATTCTGAAGCGGAAACTGAGCGAAGACGTGAGGTCAGGCACGTTTGGCAGGGGGCCGTAACCGGCACCTGACACACGGATGCCGAGGAAGGAAGGGAAGTTTGTTATGCTTGAAGGTATGTAGCTGTCTTATGGCAAAATGTTAAGTATTAACTACTAGTGGACTCTTAGGTTTGTTTCAGGAACATCAAGAAAACTGCAGCACATTTTTAATTATTGTTTTCCCTCCAAAGGGAAAAAAAATAGTGTCAAAATAGTCTGGAAGAGATATAATGGTGGTAAAATGAAAGGAATTCTCAAAAGTATAAAATAACAAATACAAATTCATCAAAATTGGTAATAAAGATGCAAAATGTCCAAATGTTTCCAGATTTCATCAGGAAATAAAGATGAACATTTCTCTGTCTGGATCAACGTCAAAGAAATGCCGCACAGCAAATCCACACAAACGACTGATCCTGGTGGTCGAGCACGGTGGTGGAGGGCTCATGATGTGGGCTGAGCACTTTGTTGTAAATGCGTCGGCCGTGAACTCCTCTATTTATCAATCGCAGATTCAAAAGTGACCCAAAAGCGTTCTCCGTTAACCGTGATGAAAATACATTCAGCTGTTTTACCTCTTCTAAATATGTCCCATTCCATACAATAAACAGATCTCGTCCAGTCGACTGCACACCCAGTTAAATTAGCTTCACAATGAAAAGGAAGAAGTGAGGTTAGACCACAGCTGGCTGCCGCTCCAGCCACAGACTGCTCCAGGCAAACAGCAGCTAAAGCGACGTCGGTTCTCAATTATCTTTTTTTTTTTTTATTATTCCCATGCGCCCCAAGATATTTTTTTTAATTGAAATACTATGGAGAATCTAATCGTATTTATATGTACAAACCCTCTGTACGAGTCTCTGCCACCAGTATTCTGTATTTAGTCACCTGATTATTTGATGACTTCCAACTTCAGATCTTTAACTCGATTTGTAACATTTAATTAAGACTGCTCAAAAAATGATTCACTAGGACGTCAGTCAGGTTTGACTGAGGTCCGAAACGCGTATCAAACGATCCAAACCAATTCAAAATCCTGTTGACCTCCTCGCCTGTGATGGCGCTGCAGCAAGAACTGCTGACGGAAATGACACGAAAACATCCAAAGACGACTTCCTTAACAAAATGGAAACAAAAAAACAATGGAGTTGCCATTTTTCTTTTCTCCATCCGTTCTCCTCCGTCAGCTTTATACTCCAGTGTACCTGTGTGTTGAAGAGGCCGCCTGTTGATTAGTTTGAGCACTGCTGCCACTGATTGTGACTGGAGGCTTGTTTATCAGTCAAGCATGAACACAGACACTAATACTTAAAAGTCCGACCATCTTACCAACACTCCACTACTTGAGAAGTACTAATGTAAGGGGGAAAATCTGAGAAAAAGGATGGAAATTGATGTCTAAAGTGGTTATTCGATGACGGATATGCTCATGCATTAAGAGTGATTATGTTGTTGAGAGCAGAAGAGTCTCTCTTCCCCATGCTGAGGGTAATTGAGGCTCTTCTAACAGCGCTTGGTGTTGCGACAATACAACATCCCAGTAATTGTTTTTTTGCCTTTTATTTCCATCTCCAAGAGCCTGGAGTCACAGCTGTAAACATGAATACTAGCTATTTTATTTAACATGTCAGGAAATACGGTGTTTACGACCAAAAACAGGAGTCCTGGTGGGTGTGACAGGTGTTACTCATCCGCGTGCAATTTGAGGCAAAGGTGGGAGTTCAATTGATGAAAGTGCTTTTTTTTAAAAAACAGTGGTCATTTTTTTAGGCATCTGTTTTCTGCACTCAAGATACATATTTATTTTTAGTCATTTTTGTTTTTGTGGAAAACATATCTGAGTGGTGAATCTGTTGTTTTGTAGTTTAAAATAATGCTTTTAAACACTGAAAATGGAAAAGTGAGGCACAATTCTGAGGGTTCCCCCCCTCAACCCCCCAAGACAGCTGGTTCTGTATTACAGGCAGAAATCCTAAGAGTGAGAAAATTTCACAGCCTCAGGGCAGAAAGAATAAGGCACACTGCCTTAAAAAGAGGAAATGCAGGACCAAAAAAAACTAAGTAGCAGAGAGTCTGACATCTGCAATGACCTTTACGGGCAACTGATATGACATTGGTATTTCTGAGTATTTTAAGGTGTGTAACAGAACGCAAAGAGATCCACAATGTCATTCATGGGTACCTGAGTAAGTTTGGACAGTTGTAATGGTTTTTCACTGTCATTCAGTCTGACTCTGATTAAGGTCAGTTTGTCTCAGCAAAGGTAAATTCAGGAATAATAACAAATGTTCTATTCTGTTCTTAACATTCAGAGATTTACACACATTTCCTTGGCATTTGGTTGTTTCTCATCCACCTTGTCGCTAATTTGGTGGTATGTTTAGGATCAACATCCATATACTGTTTTTTTTCCTCATAACGCCATCTGTTGCTGCAACCTCCATACTTCACAGCTGGGATGCTGTCCTTTCATATACACAATGTTTTTAAGGTGTTGGAATATTTATCTGTAGCTGCATTTCCATTCACAGCTACAGATATAAATTCACTCGAAGGAAATATGGCAATTTTGAAAAAACTCTCTTTTGTCTATAAAAAGTTTTGCCGCTACGATGAGGTGAGTTTTTTTAGTGGTATAGAAATAGTTTTACCTCACAAAACTGCAAAGGAAACACTTGTTTCTTATCACATAAGTCACATGATCAACAACCGGATGTTGTCACTGCTGGAAACCACGAAGAAGAAGAAAACAGGAAGTTGTTGGAGGATCATGACGTGGCTAGTTTTTTATGATTTATTGTGTCAACAAACATATTCACATATTTTATTCGTGTTCATTCAATGGGGGAACCGCAATTGCAAAATTTGACATTAGTACGATATTTACAAAGTTTTACTCAGATTTGTAGCGGAAACACAGCCAGTGAGAATTACAAGGAGTATTAAAGTTTAGAATCTTTCACAATATCACTATAATTATCACTTAGTCATTTTTGACGTAGTAAGAAACAATTTGTTTTCAGTGAAACATTGAATGAAACATTTTCAACATTGATGTAGCTCTTTTTTTCCCAATCAAAGTACACCAGCAGAATCCACATCGTGAGGATAACGAGGCACAGAGCAATCCGTATCACACGCGCAGCTGCCGAGGCGCACAGCGTTTAATCAATGAAGCAAAAGGAAGTGATTCCTACCGACACACTCGGCAGTCGGTGGAGTTTTTCTGGACACACTCGCTGAGCAGTCATCGACTCCTCTGTAAGCATTAATTCAACACCTCGGAGCTAATTCCCGCCGCGCCCCCTGTGCGCGCCATCAGACACGGTCCGCTGCAAAAGCGTCCTCGTTGGCCTCGAATCGGCGGAAAGCAAAGCAGACGAGGAAGGCAAGTGTGCCTGTCGGTGTTTTGGGGTGACTGCCGTGTGTGTGAGGACACAAAAACACAGCGAAGATTTAAACCTCGCCTCAAGATTGGATGATGGGAAGCTGGAAACGGACAGAGATGTTCCTAACTGGACATAGACTACAGAATAAATCAGCCATGGATGTCTAGCTTAACAAAGCAGAGTGGCAGATTATTATCATAGTAACTGTGATGACTAAAAGCAAATGTAATGCAGATTGATGCTGCAAGCAGGGCCAGTCAAAACATTACCGTGGCCCTGAGCAGAATTTGTTCTGGGGCCACCACTTCCTGTAAACATGGTGCTGTATAGTGACCAAATATCTCTACTTCATTTCGACATTAATCTAGAAAGAAAACATTTTGTTTCTAATGAAACCCCAAGTTTCATTTTGACATTTAACATCTTTATTACTAAGTTTGATGAATTTCTGTTTTATTATTTTATACACTTAATAGATTATTTTCTTAGTTTTGCCACCATTATGTCTCTTCTTGACAATTTTGACGAGCAAGTTAAAAGTGCTGTTATTGGAAGAAACCGTATTTTCCTGTTGATGACCAAGTTAAAAAAAAAATTATGGTTATCTAGAATTTTGTTAGAATTTCCTAAATAAAAGCTGCACTTTAAATCCAGCAATTTAGCCAGGTTAAATGTTCAGGTTTAACGATACTGCTACAAACTAGTAACTGGCTCCAGTTAGTTTCAAAATAAAAGCTATTTCTTAAACTGACAACAACCTCTCATTAGAGATTCAGAATTTACATGTGTTAACTATGAAAAATTTCAAAATAAAAACTTCCACTTCACTCACAAGCCTATATCTATTATCTATTAAAACAAAAAACTATTGGGTTTAAGTTTAAGAACCAAAGCTATGAATCAGAAGTGAGACAATCACTAGTTAGAGGTCTGAAATACAAGTTGTTACTCAAAACTAACAACCAGAGTTTCTGTTGAGTGCCCCCTGCTGGTCTAGAGGACCTAACATTTAACTGTAATAAAAGTGTAAGGAATAAGTATAGTCAAAGGTAATTCAT